AGCAAAGCAAATTTGGGTCTTGCTGTAGCTCAGGACTTGGAGTTTGGGCCAGAAAAAGCAGATTTCAGAGTTTTCTTTGTCCCCGGCCACAGAAAAGCCCTCTCCTCCCTGCTGCACGGCCCTGAGCTGTTCCAAGGACCGTGGGTATTTAGCACGCCTGGCAACGCTGCTTACGGGCAGGTGTAAAATGTCTCTCTGCACAAATTTATACAGCACGCTGCACTGACACCGGGCGCTTGCAGACGTGCGCGGCGATGCCCTCCCGCACCTCTGCCCGTGTGCCTGAGCTCCCCAGGGCTCTCCCCCGAGCAATCCCGGCGGTGGGCATGCCGACGTGCCGCCAGATCAGCCGAGAGCCGCAGCTGCTCATCCCCCACAGGCCAACCCCACGCGAGAGGGACCGCAGCTGCTCATCCCACACAGGCGACCGCACCGAGAGAGGGACCAAGCCCCTCTGCCTGCTGCTGCCCTCACCGCTGCCTCCTGCCTCCCCCCGCGGGAGCAAAGGGCTCTCCCATCCCTCGCTGCAGCTTCCTTCCCCTTGGAGCCCGTTCAAAGCCAGCCTTGGTGGCACTTGCAAAACATTTTTGCTTGCGAGTCTCAGAAGCAAACAGTTTGGAGCCGATACAAACGGCTCCTCTGTCGCTGTGGTGATTCTTGTTAGCGAGGGGTGGGTGATGGGGAGATTCTTCCCCTCTCGCCTGTAAGTCTCACACAAGCTGAATCCACAAGCTGGATGGGAAATCAGCCATCTCGGCATTTTTCCACCTTACTTTGCTTTTTCGGTTGATGTCATAACATAACATATGGCATCGTACGGAAAAATGAAAAACAGAAACCAGGAGAAACAAACCCCCTCCTGCCTTCTCCTGCCCCAGATCTGTCAGGGGTTACCCTCACCCCAAACTTCATCTGCCGGAGTCGAGGCTGCTCCGGGGGTGCAGGACTGACTCCGGACAACCCATCCTACTTGGACTGGCAGCGAGCCGGAGTTTAGTGAGGCGAGCCTCATGCCTCACCCCCCAGATCCACTAGCGTCACCCCTGAGATTTTTGGGCAGAGGCTGCCCACGTTTGCACAGCTGGGGACGAGGTATCTCAGCGGGAACTCAGACCCCGACCGTCCATCCAAGCTGTGTCCCAGCTTCCCCCGCGCCAGCTCCGGGAGGACACAGCCCATCCCTCAGGCACTCCGCAGCAGCCTCGGAGGTGCCCCCGCCGTCCCCTGCAAGGACACATCTGTTTTGTTACCGATGCTGCTCTGCCTTGGGAGGGAGGGTATTAGAGGGAGAAACACCAATAATCTTATCGGTCGACAGAAACGCTGATGGCTTATTTTTCTAGCAGTAACCCTCTTCTCATCCCTCCGAGAAGAGATGCCCAAAGAAATACAGCAGCCGTTACCTGCCGGTGACTTCAATGTTGGAGACGGCATAGAAGTACTTGTACAAGTTCTCCCTCTGCACGTAGGTGCCCCCCAGGGCCGGTCTCAGCAGTCTCATCCGCAGGTCGGTCACGGTGAAGAAGTCCTTGAGCCCTTTGGCGCTCTCCAGCCGGGTGTACAAGTTGTCCATGTTCTTGAGGTCAGGGCCAGCAAAGATGGCAAAGCGATCCCTCACCTCGAACCGCACAGTCTTCTCTTTTTTGGAGCCCGCCCAGCGGGAATACTCCTCTGTGCAGAGGACCCTGTTGGCACTGGTGGTGGAGAGGTCCCGGACCCTCCGTGCTGGCATGCTGAAGGCCTCCATGCAGTCATCTGCGTAATACTGGTACGGGTGCCAAGTCCTCCCGTTGTCCAGCGACTTCTCCAGCATCATGATGGTGGGTCGGCCATACTCGAAGGTTATCACAATGTCATCCGTCAGCTCGATGCTCTTGTTCCAGGACAGCGTGATGTTGGCCAGCAGCGGCTCCGGGTACCGGCGCCACGTCACGCTCTGCCAGTATGTGGCCAGCCCTTCGTCCTCGCTGTCAAACATGAGTTTCGGCGGGTGGGCCAGGTCTGGGTTGGAAGCATCACACTCATCGCTGCACAGGTACGGGTTCTCCTGGAACAACAACAACGGTCACGAGAGAAGGCGGCAACGCCTGGGCATCGCGTGGGCATTGCAAGCGCACGGCCAAGCTCACACCAAGACCCCGCTCACACCATGACTGGGCCCTGGTTGTAGCTGCTTTTGCTTTTGTCAAATGTTAACTGCTGGGCTGCACTGGAGTGCGGCGGGGGCCTGGCTCTGGATGATGCTGTTTCTGAGCACGAATTTAAGACAGAAATGCATGGCTTTGCCTTCGCTATAAGAACAGCTGAGCTGTTTCCTTTGAAAGGCCCTTCGGGAAAGGGCCGTTCAATTTGGCGCGGGGGCAATTTTCATAGAAAGCACTTTCCCTGAGATGGTCTCTGAGAACCTTCGCTTAAGGTTGGCCGAGGTACAAGCCTACGGAAAGCTGCATTCACTCCTGCTCCCTTGCAAGAACTGAATGGCTGAAATCCCTGAAGCACATCCATGCCTCTGACGGCTCCTGATGCTGAATGGGCTGGGGACACACCGTCCCCGTAGTGCCTCTGAGCACGCCTGGAGGAGGGAAACCCAAACTCCCCAGCTCTGAGCTGGGACAGGACCTGGCGGTAGTGGAGAGAGCAGATTTCTGCTCCCAGTGGCCTCGGGGACGTGCGGAGCAGGTGTGCTTGGGGTGCACCCGCTCAGCCCGATGTGATGACCATTGCTGGTGACTTCTCAGTTCAACCTACCCAAACTAACCAGAGGCTGAGCCGACAGAGAAGGGATCAGGAAGGGAACGGAGCAGGCAGCTCTGTGCCCACTCGCCAGTGTCTAGACGGGACCCAGGACTCCCTAAACACTAAACTCCCTAAACACTAAACAGCCTAAACACTGTTCACAGCCACTTGCTGCTTGTCCAGGCACCCTCAGCCTGTGGCAAATGGAAGGCAACGGGAGCTGACATCCGTCTTTGCACAACCCGAGTTACGTTGCTGTGCCCGGCAGCCCCGCTGCCCGCGGGGACAGGCGCTTCCCCAGCTGCAGGCAGGAGGTGCAGTGGTCCTTGCGCGCCCGCAGGGACCACGGTGGGAAGGGTGGCTCATCCCATCCAGATGACGACGTCTGCTGCTACTTCTGCTAGGTCATTCGTTGCCTGCAGGCCTGGGCAATGGCAGAAAAGGTCCAACCGTCCCATTTCGCCCACAAGTGAGAGCGCTCACGCGTTTTGCAGGGACACACACATGCATCCATGTGTGCTGAACTGCACTTAGGACATACTGTCAAGGTCACACACCAAATGTTGACGTTTTGGAGGTGGGCATCAGGGATAGCTGTGCCAACGGGTTTATTGCTCATGCTTACGTGTGTTAAAGCTCGTCACTACAAGCTGGGGTCTCTCTTGCCCTGCAGCCCCTGCCTCCAGGAGCGTGTGGGTGAGACCTGCCCTGGGGATGACGTGGGGCTGTTATAGTGGGTACCGTCCGCAAAAAAACCTCTGTGACACACTGCAAACCCTTTTTCCATATGAAGCATCTCTTTGCTGTCGCTTTACTTCCCTCTCGGACTCAAAATCCAGATGATCGGGGAGGGAGAGGGACCGGTAGGGCAGCAGGCTCTGCTGCGGCGGGACCCTCGTCAGGGGGGCAGAGGCACCTGGCAGAGGAGGAGGTGATAAAGCAGCTGGAGCCGCTCAGAGCTGATGGCTGGAGGCGAGGAGCCTGCCGGGGTGCGACTGCTGGCCCTCCTGAGCACAGTGGACTTGCAAGGTAAGACCGAACGGGGTTTTGCGGTTTGCTTTGTGAATGCTTTGTGCGTGCTCGGGAGCCTGTGGGAAGGTTCTGCGTGCGGGGAGCAGCGTGCTCCTTGCCGGCCCCAGGGACCTCCTGTGGCACTGGGGCTGTGCTGGGGTGCAGGGGGCTGCCGGTCCCCGGCCCACGGGGAGCCGACGCTGGTACCCGGGCGCTCAAACAAGCCAGGTGCAGGGCTGGGGTCTGCGCAGGCTGCTTGTGTCCCAGGGCTGGGAGAGCCCCGCTGCAAGCGCGGGGAACTGCAGGAAGAAGCTGCTCCTGTGGCTGTGGGCTTGCTTTGACCTGGGCATCTGCTGGAGTCTCGAAGTGCTCGTGACCTGCTTTTAGGGTGCCCTGTGTATACCCCTGGCAAAGCAGAGGAGGGGATCTGGCTTGTATGAATGGGTGCTCTTGCGTGCAAAGCGCGGCTGTGCTTTGAATGTGGAAAACAATGTGTAATATGAGGTGCTTTGGAAAACCAGGGCTTTTCCAGTTCAAACCTCCACTTGGGCAACCAAAACTCCTGGAACTACGTAGGGCCTCTCCACTCCGCATCTGTAAAATGGGCCTTTGGTGCCTGCCTGCAGCTCAGAGACACGCGCTGAATGCGAACAACTGTTTGCACAGCGAGTGGAGGCCACAGCGCCGAGGAGCCTAGAAAAGCTCAGGAGGACATAAATAATTCTGTCTTCTGAGCAGCGTGTGAGTAGCATGCTGTAAATAAGGCAGAAGGCTGCTCTGCCAGCAGTGGGGATAAAACAAAATAGCAAGCAGCTGATCTGTACGTGAGCACCAGGCTCCTTTGCAGGGGATGCAGCAGCAGCCTTGGGGAGGAAAGGGGACTCCTGTAAATAAAGCATGTGTTGTCGTGTGGGTGTGCGCGAGGCTGCCAGGGAAAGCCGCAGAGCCAGTTGATAAAATGGGGCAAAACTCATACTGTGTTCAATGTTGTCTTGCTCTCAGACACACACCGATGGTAAAGGCACGAGCGCTGTGCTGGGATTTGCTCCTCCTGTTACAGTCTTAACTCGAGGGACGTGTGGCTTTTGCTATCTCCGTGTGCGCTGGGAGGAAGGGCTGTAGCCGGAGCTGCTGGGCTCCGGTGCGGTGCCCATTCCCGGAGCGGGGAGGCTACTAACTGGATGCTTCTATGGCTGTTTTAAAAGCAAATGGTTATAGTTTTATTATTTTTCACTTGCTTGCAGCTGTGCCAACTGAGCAAGGGAAATCAATGGAGCGCTCAGGCTTGCTTGGGTGGGTCAGGTCGACGCGTGAGGGCATCTGCCCAGGAGCTCCCCACTCCCCTCCCAAAGAGGGGGAGATGCCCCAAGCAAGGGGAGATGCCAGCTGGGGAGCAGCGGGGCTCTGAGCTGCGCTGGGGGGGTCCTCTCCTGCTGCGACATGCTGTTTTGGAGCAGGGATTAAAAAACCCAAAGATATTGACATATTTAATATGCTCTCCTGCCTTGTCACGTTCAGAGGAATTGTTTACCTCTGCTAATGAGACACAGCTTCCTGCTGGGGAATGGAGCTGCCTCTTAGCGCAGCTTTACAGCGGTGGCTGACGGAAAAGGAAGAAAAAGCCCCATCAGCTGAAGTGCTGGAGGCTCTGGGTACATCTCCTGTGCTGAGGCAACATATTGTGTTGCAGCATGGTCCTACTGCCAATGTGGTCATACAGATGGCTTAATAGGACGCTCCTGAAAAGACCATCCCGTGGTCCGTTTTCACCTCTTGTCTGAAGGAGGGTGCAACAGTGCGGCGTCTCGGTGGGCTCAGGTGGGGAATTGGCTTGAGGCAGCAGCACGAAACTCCCCAATAAACCCCCCTTGCTGCTCAGACCAGCTCTGTGTGAGCAGGAGCCTGCGCACAAGGAGCCGTCCTGGCAAGAGTGCTCTTGCCGCGTGGCTTCCTTTCCTTGCGTGTGGCAGGCATCGGCGCTGCCACAGCCCTTGAGCCAGTGTAAGATGAACCTCCCCTGAGTATTTGCTGCTAGAGCTGTCCCCGGCATGGCCCCAATAAACCCCCCTTGCTGCTCAGACCAGCTCTGTGTGAGCAGGAGCCTGCGCACAAGGAGCCGTCCTGGCAAGAGTGCTCTTGCCGCGTGGCTTCCTTTCCTTGCGTGTGGCAGGCATCGGCGCTGCCACAGCCCTTGAGCCAGTGTAAGATGAACCTCCCCTGAGTATTTGCTGCTAGAGCTGTCCCCGGCATGGCCACACGGGCCAGCTTCACCCCTGGGGCTAAGGATGATGCTCCTATCGAGGTTTTCTTTGGTGGCTTCCTTATGCAGTGGCTAAACTACACTAGGGAAGGAATCTGTGACCAAACCACAGTACGAAGACATTACCCAGACCACCAAAGGGTGGCCAGGGTGGTGGGTGGGACAGGTTTCCCAGGAGCAGCGAGGGAAGCAACCGAGTCTGACAAGCGTGATCCCCCTCCCGGTGTCCCGTCTGGAGGGACAGAGCTGGCCAGGCAGGTCCCTGGCAGGGGACCTGGCGGGTCAAGAGCAGGAAGAAGCAGAGCCAGAAGTCTGCCTGTCTTCCATATGTTCGTCCCAGAGATCAGGGAATGGAGGTGTACAATCCCTGATGGCTCCTGTACATCCCATGCTGTAAGCGTGCTCAGCTCAGCAGGCAGCAAGCCCAAAGATGTCTTTAACCACCCTGATGTTCTGGAGCAGCACGCAGCTCAAGAGCTGCGTGGTTCCAACAGGGCAACGCAAAAATAACCTCTAAGTGATAGTGCTTGCAAGGTGGGGGAGAGCCTCAAAAGCCACCGAGTGAGTCACGTCACTACAGCTTCCTCTGCTAAAATGAAGTGTTCCTTTTTGGTTTTAGGTTTATTGAATTGTCATTCTTCCATGGGATGCTCAATGCATTTTCTGCTGGTGGGGTGGTTTGAAGTCAGCCGGGAGGGCAGGGGGGAGCGGAAACAGATGACCATACTTTGGCTGCTCCATCGGTCCTGGTAAGATCAGTTATAGCACTGTTGAAACAATTCCAGGTATTATTTTTGAATCTCGTGTCCTCCTCCAAACCGTGTGTCCTCCAAAGAATCTGTCCAAAGTCTCAAGATATTTACGTCTTCAATCTAAAAGTCAGACTGCATTAGCCAGGCAAACTTGGTCTCAGCGAGCTTAAAATAAACCAGTTCACTTCGAGTCTCACGCTATTAAATCAGTCGTGAGTGTCCTCATGGCAACTAGATGTTGTAGGTTTCCAGCTCTCCAGCATGCTTTTCTGGTTGCTCATTTCTTGA